AGTCAACAGAATAATTTAAGGTGAGTTTAAGTCAGTTATTTGATTTCACCACAGCTAGGCTGAATTGCCTTGTATTAACTGACAGGATCTGCTGTAGTATTGCATATATTAAAATGTATTTCAAAGGCAGACTTACAGACACTTTATCTATTTATTTTGGCTCTTATGCAATCAACTAAAACAACCAGTACTGCTTTAATTGGAACATGCTTATTAGACTGGAAAACATAGTTCCCATATCACTTTCAGCGATACTTTACTACAGTTCCACATCTTAAGTTTTCTGCATTCCTTTTCTTATATATGAAACACCAGTGTGTTCAGTAGCAATGACTTTTTGCAGTAACATTTAAGATGACTATCCATATTCACTGGTTTTGTCAAGGATACTACTTTAGTGAGGTGTAGAGAAAAGAGAATTTGAATCCTAGGAAAAGACTGACTTTTTCCTTTTTGGAGCTTTGTCTGGGAGAAGCTTAGCTTACTTTGTTCGTGTTGCGAATGAGGCCTGCTGGCACAAAGCTGGCTCTGAAACAAGTATAGGACCTTTTTCTTATGCTTGGATTTTATTTGGTAAATAACTTTTTACCAACTGTGGTAACAGCAAATTGTTCTACATGTACAGGCCTCCCTCCCTGTGTCTACAGCTGTGTCCCCAACACAATTAGAGTATTAGTAAGAGAACAGATAGCAAATACCTAAAAGAATTCATTAGGATTAATCCTTGTTACAAATTTTTCTTTCTCTAGCTTTTTGAACTTACAAATGTGCATCATTTAAAAATACCTTGCTCGCAGCTTTTAAACAAGCAGCAACAGTATGAAGCTTGCTTCATCCTTTAGTGAGTGTAGAGACTTAAATAGTATTTGTGTCATTGCTGCATGGCTTCATCTACTTAAATGTGAATTCTTGCTCTTTGTATCTGAAGGTTCCTTTTATCTTTCCTCTGTAGTTAATTTGAGTTTCAATGAAGTCATAGGTAGACATAATCCCAGACTTTTTTGAAGTTTTGTTGCTTGATCTTTTGTGTCATTTAGAATGTCCCTCTCTTTTGAACAGGGAAGCGTTTGTTAGGAATTCAGAGCAAACTAGCAACTAATGATAGTGTCTTGCTTTTATCAAAATAGTTATGTCGCAGCACTTTGACAAGGAAAGCAGAGTAGTGTTCTGCAACAACTGAGTAGTCTCAAACCTGCAGGTCACTATTGAAAACTAGAATCAGTAGAGAGATGAGAAGCTGTGTGTGAGCAAACATCCTGTGCAGATACAAACCCATCTGTTCTAGTTTTCACTGTGTTTTGTCTGCTTTAATGGAAGGAAATCTTTAATTTAAAATTACATATTTGAACTGTGGGACAAAGGATGAAACAAACTTCTTGTGACAACATAGGTAAAAATGGTAAGTCCAGCAGGATTACACCTACTTTTTTTCCACAATTTGAATAACGTATTTTCTCTCATTCCTTCAGAATGTTTACTTTATCTGTTAGTACAGAAATTAAGTACAGGATTTTGTAGGCACCATTCTGATTATGGTCCGCCAACCTGATGTTCTGGCTATGATCAGTTACTGGTATGATAGAATTTGCCTATGTCTGTTACTTACCTGTTTTTCCCCTGAATGCCCTGAAAAACACCTCGCGTAAATAAACTTTTAAAGTTATCCTTTTCCTACTTATTAAAAATAAATAAAAGGTTGTTTATCTTCTTGAGTCATCTTTCTTTTCCCACACCCTATTTGATAAAGCCACAGAAAGGCAATCATCTCTTTAAGCTGTGTTACTTTACACTGAAGCAGAGGTGTGCTTGTTTGGGGTGCTGAATAAGCTGGCCCAGCTGAGGGACTGCATCTGAAATCCTCATGGCAGGTTCTGTGGTGATCACTTAACTGAGACCTAACTGAGGCCAAGACAACAAATTTTCTCTTTATTATTCTACATGTCTTTATACAAATACAGCACTCTTGACACAAAAACAGCGTATTAAAACAGGTGAATTAGTACAGCTTCTTAATGTTTGCAGGGCATAAGTTTTTGCCAAGAAAGAGATGTGAAACTTCAGTCTTCTGAAGAATGAGTAGATTCAGGGGGAGGTGGGAATACTATTGATTTTTTTTTAAAATTAACAAAATCTCAGTGATTTACAGAATGTGTAGACAGCAAATGCAGCAGTCATGACTAAATAAATGAGTCTCGCATAAATGCCTGTTAGTCACGTTCTTTTTTTATTATTATTACAGTTCATCAGTAGGATATTTGCAGCATCCTGGATCAGAGCAGATACAGTTTCCTAGAACATCATCACCGTGCAACTCACAGCAGCTTCAAGGACAGCAGTGTGCAGGTTGGGGGAATAAAGTTGTTATTGAAAGACCTGCTGTTAATATGCTGGGTGACTGGATATTTGTTATTATGGGTTTGATTTAGAAATAACTACTGTATTATATTTCCTTCTGGGTTCCATTTTTGAAGTTATATTGGAGGCAGGTTAACTCAACATCTCAATTTGTTTATCATTGGAAGCTCTAAAGTTACTTTCTTAGAATTCAGTAACTTATATCGTAACGCCTTGCACATCTGTTTGTGGGTTGAGACAGACATGAGAACTATCTGTTGTCAGCAGAATGACTTTTGTCTTTTCCTGAATAGCTACACGAGTCTGAAAATGTTGGGTTACATTTGATAGAATGAGCAAGGTACATTTTGGAAGGAATGTACGTGGCTCTTCTACTCAAGAAGCATTCTAGATTTCACTTAATGGAGTAGGAGTAGTGATTTCCTTAAAGACTTCTTGAGAAGATGGTGAAAACTGTAAGCTTTCTGGGTTAATACTCCGAAGCTGTGTGGGGTGTTTTGGTTTTGTTTTTATGGTAGCCTTATTTACTGCTTTTACTTTCATAGTTTATACCAACCATTCAAGTCAGAAGCCATCACCTCCTACATTATTGCCACCTTCATCAAAGTCAAAGCCACAACAGGCTGCTTCCATTGTGCACTACAGCATAGTGTCTCCACCCTCATCATGTAAAAGTTCGCCCACTGGTCTTTCCATCATGCAGCCAATAAAAGGTATATTTTATTGGGATTTTCATCTGAGCCATTCTGTCTAGAAACCTGTTGTAAATTATCAGACTGACTTCATGGCTAACTGCTAGAACAACTGCAACTTGAGTGCCATCTCTGCAAACATTATTTTGTTTTTTTTATTCTTCATCTGAATTGCTATTATTGTAACTTTTAAAATGACAACTTGGAACTTAAGTGAAACAATAGCCAGCTTCATGGGGGCAGCCTGGAGGCAGCCTTCAGCAGATAAGTTTCACTTTAGCAGAAGCACTTAAATCAGGTTTGGAATGTTTTGATCTACAACACATTTGGATAATTTTTAGAAGGTGTATAAATAGCAGCCCAAATGGTGTGTGAAAGCAGTGGTGACATAAATCTTGTCATATCCATTAAATGTCTATAAATGTTAATATCCAAACACTTGAAAACTCTGAATTTCCAACCATAAAATTGATAGACTGGTCAGGGCTAGCCTCCAAACAAGAGGTTACAGAACAATCCTGTGATCATAGCGGTACTGTCTTTATTTTACCAATAGGGAATTTGATACATTAGAAGTTTGGTTGGCCAAAAAGGGGTAATCTCAAACACTGCTATCTCAGTATTTTGCAAGCAAGCAATAGATGAAACAACCCTAGGTCAATGACCTACATTCTACTATAGGTGTGGTGTTTCTTACAAACATTTATCTTTTAAGATATTTTTAGAGCCTGTTTATTAGTAAATAGATAACATGTAGTTACATGGCAAGATAGCTGAAATTAGCAGTGTATTATAGTTCATGGGCAGGTTTGGCTTTGTTTCGATTTTGCTTCAAGTTTGGCCTTACTTCTGGAGGACTCATTTCAGGATGTCTGAAATCGGTCTTGCACTCGTTTGTTTTTCTACCCTCCTAATCTATCCTGGAAGTGCTGGTTTTATGCCATTTTGAAGGCCTGGTTCAAACCAGTTAAACAGCAATTTTAAGAAGTTTGGGGAAGGGGAAGCCCTCTGACATGGGGAGAACAAATTTTGAGACAATAATGCATGCATTTCAGTAAGTGATATTGAGAAGATGAATCAAGGCCACTGAGGTAAGGGCAATGAGGACGTATGCCAACAAGCAGCAGAGTTGTGTTTCTTTTCATTTGAAAAAGGTACAGAGGACCAGACTGTAAATCTGGGAAGCTTTTTTAAGGACTTTTTCTGGGTTTCCCTTCTCATGGGTTTTGACAGGTGATAAAGTGTCTGTAAATGGATGTATGCGTTCCGTGACACTTCACTTTTGTCAGGATGCTTGTTTAGGAAAAGAATTCCATTGATTTTCATTTACTGAAATGCTGGGGAACTAGAAGTAGTAGAAAGAACAAGTTTTTCTGGATGTACAAAGTTTTCTTTAGCAGTTAAAAATAGTATTTTCTGGTTGTGACACTTTTTTAGAAATGGTGCGTAGATGGTTTCAAAGGACAAGCACGTTTTTGTTGGATGCTCAGTTCTCGCAGAACAGAGATAAGTAGTAAAAGAGTATGCTAGAGTGCTGCAGAACAAAATACTATAATATTACAAAACAGTAAGATGTAAATACTTATTTACAATATTTATAAGTATATGCATAAAATATTAACATGAATCCAATTTTCTTGTCTAAAATGTAGTGTGTATATAGATGTTTGGTACATCTCACATTTACATATAGGGATAAGTTTATGGCTTTATCACTTGGAAGCTGTTGTGTTATATATTATTCTGATTATGTATTGGATCTCTATAAACAGAGTTATATTTTTATTTTGCTGCGCTACAAAATAGAAATATTCGCCATGTGGGTCTTACAGGGACAGAGCAGGGACTCTTAAATTTATAACCTCTGCTAAAGTTGGCCAGATATCTGACGCTTCCATTTCAATCTGTAACACATGGGTAGAACTTTTTGCCATTAAAAAGTATAGATGTGGAAACATTACTAATATTATTTAATTTATTTTTATAAATATCAATATGGTAAATATTTCAGAATACAAGTTACAAAAGCTAATATTGTTTTAGTATTACGAGTTCATTATTCTACATTGTTTGGTTTGCTTTTTGAAGGAGTGTCTTTCTTTTTGTGTAGCCCAGGGGTAGTGAAAACAATAGCCCGTTTTAAAAAATAAAAGACGAATGCATTTCATAATCTGTATCTGACTGCTCCTAACTGATGCTATGACGTAGGTAGCAAATAAAGAAGATTGTAGACTCCTTCTTTAAAGGTGGATGATTAAATGATGTTTAAACCATGTGTTTTAATCGTGGTTTCTGAGAAATGCTGTAAACAGCGGGTAGAGCAGAAAAGGAAATTGCAAACAACCATTTACAAGTAAACAGGACGTTATATAAATTACCAGGGACAGAGCCAGGTCAGAGGGGGAAGACAGCTTCTCTCTTGGCAGCCTCTCGTCACAAATCCTCATTTGGAACCTTAAGGAACAGCGCTGGCTGTTTAGCTGTTCTCCCGACTCTGGCGTTTCTGTAGCCACGACAGTAGCTAAGTGGTACAGGATGTGGGGATCAATTTGCGGTCTTTGCCCAGAAAAACGTTCCTATATAGAACTTGTAAATGAGGGTAATTCAGCCTCCAACTAAAGATTGATTCCAGGTCTTTCCAACGTATGCCATCATATCAGAGAAAACATTTTTGAGTTGATATTGCTGTATATCATGTAAAACTAATTAGGTAGCTTCTATTTTTAAATAAAGCATGTTTGCTTAATACCACATGTTCTTCAACATGTTGCTCTACAGTGAATGTCAAATACTTTCAATTACTATTAAATAGAATGATTTATTTCAAAAATATTCTCAGTAATGCGTTTCAGTGGTTTCACTATCTCTTCTAGTTCTGGAAGCCCTCTCTTCTAGAGTTAACTATTGCAGATTTATCTGATAGTGGAAATATAATCGTACAGAAGATACTGCTCTAGTTTTCTAGAATTCAGCAGCTTATTTAGCAAAACATTCCTTGTTATTCCCCTGCCCCTTTTTTTTAAATTCCCATCTATTCTGCTAAAATGGAAATTGAAATGTATGATGGACTAACTGTATCCTACTGATTTCTTGTCTTGTAGCAGTAGCACCACCACCAGGTGGAGGAGTAGTAATGATGCAGCTAAATATACCTAACAATCCTCAGCCTCGGAATCATTCACCTCCACAGTGGAAACAAAATAAATATTACTGTGATCATCAAAGGGGGCAGAAGTCCACAGAACTTAGCACTTTAGACAGTGCTGCACAGGTATGAGGCTTTTGTTTTGTTTTCCAGGATGACTTGAAATTTGCATAAATTGCATCTTTGCATGTTTTTTCAAAAGTTCTTTTGGGGAAACAAAAATCTGATAATACTTAATATAGCTATGTTAATTTTACTTAAGTCTGAATGCTGTAGCTGTTGTCTGGCTTGTTCAACTTGGTGCTTTTTAAAACACTAACTTGTTGTTTATTCCAGTTGCAGCATAGTCCTCAACTAGGTAGTCCTGTCACCTCACCGGCCCAATCACCAGCACCAGCTCAGCTATCAAACATGAAGAACATCCGTCCCACATTAACACCTCTTTCTATTGTGTCCCAGTTTTCCAGACCTTTTGTTCCTGGACAAGGTATACTTTTAGTTAACTACAATTTGTGTATGTTTTCTATTTGAACGTTCTAAAATACATGTTATAGGAGGATATTTCTGATGAACTGTGGCTCACTTTGGTAGTAATACCGTAGAATATCATATCATAGAATGGTTTGGGTTGGAAGGGACCTTAAAGATCATCTAGTTCCAACGACCCTGCCATGGGCAGGGACACCTCCCACTAGACCAGGCTTATCAAAGCCCCATCCAACCAGGCCTTGAACACCTCCAGGGATGGGGCAGCCACAGCTTCTCTGGGCAATTTGTTCCAGTGCCTCACCACCCTCAGAGTGAAGACTTTATTCCTGATATCTAATTTGAATCTACCTTCTTCCAGTTTGAAGCCATTCCCCCTTGTCCTATCACTACATGCCCTTGTAAAAAGACCCTCTCCAGCTCTCCTGTGGGTGCCCTTCAGATACTAGAAGGCTGCTATAAGGTCTCCCAGGAGCCTTCTCTGCAGGCTGAACAACCCCAACTCTCTCAGCCTGTCTTCATAGGAGTGGTGCTCCAACCCTCAGATCATCTTCATGGCCCTCCTCTGGACCTGCTCCAAGAGGTCCATGTCCTTCTTATGTTGGGGGCTCCAGAGCTGGATGCAGTACTCCAGGTGGGGTCTCACCTCCCTCGACTACCCTTCTTTTGATGCAGCCCAGGATAGAGTTGGCAATATTACTGAAGCAGATCATCAAAACTATCCACTCAAACATCATGTAAAATTTCACCTTACCTCTCTGCACTGATACCGTCCCCCATATTCTCAAAAGCTTCTCAAAAAATTTCTTGTTATTGTGAGCACTTCTATAACCCACTAGCCTTCTCAAATGTAAAACTCCCCATTTCAGCATTGAAAATACTAATAAAATGTTTGATATAACTTAGCTTCAAGTTTTAAACATAAATCAAAAACTTGATACACACTGTCACAAAGGATATAATTTTAGAGCTACAAAGATAAAATAAATAATGTGGGACTAGCTGATCTTAATACATTAGGTGGGCATATTATCTTTTGGGGGAAAGGATACAGAAATGTGATGTTGAGATGAATGTTCTGTGAGACTCACTTATTAGTTGATGCACTGAATCAAACCACTACCTAAGTGAGAATTCTTCATTCGTTTGTATAAAAACTAGCACGATGGGAGTAGAGCCCATACCACTGCTACTTCACTTAGTATTTCAGATTGTACCCACCCAAAGACAGATGACGTTCCTTGTAGAAGAATTTCAGTCTTCTGCTGCCATGTTAACAGAAAAACAGAAAATAGGGAGTTTTCACTGAGATGTGATAGTTGATAACGTTTAAAAACCAAATGATAAAAACAAAAACCTTTGTCAGTGAGCAAAGATGTCTTGTTATAGTTCCCACACTCAAAATTAATGGGTCTACTTTACAGAAAGAGTTGCTTTAAAGCAAAACTTATAGAAAATTCTGTATGTCTTCACTATTGATAAAGAAGACTTATTTTCATGTCTGTTTTTGTCTTATATGCTGCATAGTCACTTCCTCAGGGAAGTGATCGTCCCCCTGTACTTGGCACTGGTGAGGCCCCACCTCAAGTACTGTGTTCAGTTTTGGGCCCCTTACTACAAGAAAGACATTGAGGTGCTGGAGTGTGTCCAGAGAAGGGCAACTAAGCGGGTGAGGGGTCCAGCGCATAAGTCTTATGAGGAGCAGCTGAGGGAACTCAGGTTGTTTAGTCTGGAGAAAAGGAGGCTGAGGGGAGACCTTATTGCTTTCTACAGTTTCCTGAAAAGAGGCGATAGAGAAGTGGGGGTCAACCTCTTCTCCCAAGTAACAAGGGACAGGACAAGAGGAAATGGCCTCAAGTTGCACCAGGGGAGGTATAGATTGGATATTAGGAGAAAGTTCTTCACAGAACTTTTCACAGGTTGTCAAGCATTGGAACAAGCTGCCCAGGGAAGCAGTGGAGTCGCCATCCCTGGAGGTATTTAAAAGACAGGTAGATGTGGTGCTGAGGGACATGGTTTAGTGATGCTTTTGGCAGTTAGCTTGATGGCTGGACTTGATGATGTTAAAGGTCCCTTCCAACCTAGACAATTCTATGCCAATCTTTATGTCATTGTGTTGTATTCCAATGTAAAAATTTCAGGTTGCCTGTTGTAAAGTATCCCTCTCAACTTTCTTAATCTTCTGGGATTACTAAAAACTTTTATTTCATTGTCTTTGTGGATCCTTGGAGCAAAGAGGAATGTGAAGATGTACCTAGCGCTCATCAGGGATATAACCATGAAAATGATTAAATTAGTACACTGAGAGGCATTTTAGCCTTATTAAGCACATTTTGAAATGAGAGGAGTTAGATAAGACTGCAACGAAGAAAAATGTTTAGTGTTTTTCAGTGTAATCCTTAAATGCAAGAAAGCTTGTACCTTTTCACCTTGTGATCAGTATGTGACTGACATTTAATCGTACCAAATCTTCCTTTGTTCGCCTAGCCAAATACACTACTTTGTGCATCGTTATTCTGCTTTCTCTTCTGTGTAAGATATGCATAGTAAGAGGAACTTGGAGGAAGATTTCATATAACAGAAAAACCCTTCTAATTACCTTTCTCTTTAAGGAGATGCCAGATACCCATTGCTTGGCCAACCCCTGCAATACAATCCACCATCTTTATTACGTGGACAAGTAACAAGCCAACAGGTATTAAAGAGAACAATCTCCTGGCAACACTGAAAAAAAAACAATTCAGGACTGCCATTATAACCACCATGAATAGGGGAATATGTTATTGCATTAGAAAAGTAATTGAGTGGAAGGTGCTTGCTTTCCAATAATGGTTTTATTCTGTGTTGGTAATTCCCATTGTTCTTGTTTGTTGTGTTAAAAAAGAAGAAATGAGAAATGTTTTCCTGAAACTTAGCTTTGGGCACAGTGTAGATCGTGGATTTATTTTTTTTTTTAAGCAATTTGCCAGCAGTTCCAAAAATCACAGAGAGAACGTTTGCTAAAAGGACTTTCTTTTATTTGAATAACAATTTAAAAAGAAAAATAGAAAATACATGTGGGTATTTCTAAACTAAGAGTGGGTTTGTTTCTTATAAGAAAAACAAACCCAAAATATTAGTGTTAGCAAAGCTGAAAAGTTTTGCCATCTCTTCAATTTTTGGGACTGACACACAGACTCCCTACCTCCACCTTGCTCAGTTCTACCTGAGATCGGTCAGAAGATGTGGGGGAATAAAGGGAGGTGTTCTTCCAAGAAGATTTAAGGTGATTTTTTTTTTTTTTTCATCATTTCCTCCCTTTCTCCTGAAGCCAAGGATAGAATGTGCCTGACTGCAGGACTGCCAAACTTCAAGACTAAAATTGGACATGAAAATCTGTTCTCGATCATGGTAGCGCAGATTACTTTCCAGACATTCCTCTGCACCACTTTTCACTGAGCTAACCTAGAAATTTTAAGATACTGGTGCACTGTCACTAAAGTAAATAATTTTTGTCAATCTTTCCAGTGTCAGCCTGGAAACAGACATGGAAACAGGGGAAAGAAACCAGCAAAGAAGGCTGCTTCAGCAGATCTTGGTGCAGGAGAACCAGGTATAGAATTGCTGATTGACACAGTCCTCCAGAAAAATGAATTATGGTGATGGGCTGGGAGTGTAACAAGAAAAGCAAAGGTGAGAAAAGGGCCAGAATAAAGAGTAATTGGACGGAAATGGACATAGCAAACACTGAAAAGATAAGGATGGTGAGAAAGACTTGATTTGGAGAGAGGAGAAGAGGGAGGTTAAATGAGGAAAGTAGTTTTGCAGGCTGGAGAAAAGACCAGAGAAGATCAGGATTGGACAGTACTAAAAGGAAAAGCAAGTTTGTGAGTTTACTGGATGTAAGTTCTATTATATTGTTACATTAAATGTTGTTATCTTAAATATACATACCCCTGCTTCCTTTTATTTGCATGAAATGTGAAATCAACCATAAACCACAAATTAGTTTGCGCTTCTTTTTGTTTTCTAATATAAATGAGCACATGGATTTGGGGGACATATTGCGAAACCTACAGGATTAGCTCTGTGGAGTTGGTAAAGATGTCATATAAATAAAACGTGACATCATCTATCTTCATATCTTTACTAGAATTTTTCTGCAAGTGTCACCTACTATCAACTTTACAGAAAGTTACAGATAAATCAGCTTTTTCTAACAAAGAGAAGGCAGACTAGTTTTTTGGCACAGTGATGTGTGAAGAGTTAACAGGCAAATCCAGTGAGATGCTATAGTGAGTTCTCAAACCTGCTGCAAAATTTGGTGTTGATCATTTTATTATTTTTCCCTCTCTCTTTTGATGGTCCTCTTTGTATTTTCAGCTTTTATTTGTAAGCTTTTAGCAGTAAGCAGTGCTAAATGTGAAAGCAAAAGGCTCTAGAATACCAGAAATGGAATTGCTGTGTATTTGGTATCAGCCAACTGGAGATACAAGTATGAAATAACTCATTTTCCATTGTGTTTGTTGTATCATTAAGTACAATGACCAATTCAGATTCAATTTTTTTCTTGTTTCAGTTGTGGGAAAAGTTCTAGAAATTACTGAACTGCCAGAAGGCATAACTCGTATGGAAGCAGAAAAACTATTTGGAGAACTTTTAAAAGTTGGTGCCAAGATTCGGTGGCTAAGGGATTCGCAGTGTCTACAAACACAGCAGCAGCAGCAGCATCGTCGTTACTGTGGCAGTGGAGACAGTAGTGTGAACACTGAGCCATCCAAACCTAGTGACTTGGCTTCCACTTACACGGTTCTAGCTACGTTCCCTACAATGTCAGCTGCTCAGAATGCGTTGAAGAAACAAAGTAGTACCTCAGTGAACAAGTTCAGGCTGAGAACAAGCAAGAAGCACTATGACTTTCATGTTCTGGAAAGGGCTAGTTCTCAGTAGCAGTTACATCAGTGGACACTCAGCCTTTACTACTTCCATGTCCTCCTCTCCTTGATTGGCTTGATGTTATGGGGTTTCTGTTCTCTTCATAGAGACTCCTGGGATGTTTTGTCATATGACATTAGCCATTGAAGAATAAATAACCCAGTGATCCAGCAAGATGAAGAAAAAAAACTACAGAATTAATCCCAGACAAAAGCAAGGAATCATCTTTGAGACAGGCAGCTTTCTACACGGAATGCTGTTTAAATGCCCCCTACTTTTATAGTAGTTTTGTTTTATATTTTTTGAATTCTTGTATCAGATCCAAAGTTCTATTGTACAGCAAACGTTCATAAAAATCCATATTAGATTTGTATTTTATAATCCCTTTTCACTGCCAGCACACAGCTGTCCATTCCAAGGCAGGAACCTAAGGATTGGTGGAGGGGAAAAGAGAACCATTTTCAAGGAATTACACTCATTTTCTAGCAAACTAACCCAAATCTTCAAGTTAACCTGTTCTTTGTCCCTTGTGTGTTTTTCTTTTTTTTTTTTTTTTAAGAAAGAAAAAACCAATATAATTTTAGTAACTAATTCCTTAGATGGTCATTTTCTTTTGAGATTCATTCAAGCAAAGTCAAAAGAAATTACAAGTAGGTTGTACCCTTGAAGGATTTGCTTCTGATCCAACAAGCTTAATAATTATTTAAAGGGGAATACGAATAGGTTACAAAGAATGTTCACAGAATCACATTTTAATATTTCTTCTTTTTAGCAAAAGTGTGAAGAAACTAAAATGTATCTTCACAAGTGACAAAATGTTTGCACTTTAATTGTGTTCCCACCAGTATGGATCTCTTTCTCTTCCTTTTCACGCTAAGATAATTGTGTTTGATAAGTGCTGGAAACCTTTTTAATGGTTTAAGTTTTCATCGTTTGCAGATGCTCACTGGACATTAAAGATTCATTGCACATAAATGAAACAAACTTTTTTCAATTTGTGTAATTTGCAAGGCTGTACAATGTGTGCTGATGCAAGCCTTTTTCAGTTCAAGAAAATAAATGTTTACAAACACAAACTTTTTCAGTGCACTTGTTTAAACTTCTAGGGGTCTTCTGAAACCTCGATGAACACGTATTAATGGTTTGAATCCTTTCATATGCGAGAAAATAACACAAATACTAGAACTTCTCAAAGAACTACTATTGCTGTTCCTCTTCTTGAAGCATTTATTTACGTTATACTGCCCTTCATCACTTTAAAATGTTTCCCTATATAAGTAAAAAGGAGAGAAATTGATAAGACACCATGGGACGACTACTGGGTTTTTTTTTTTTATTTTTAGCACAGGCACTGATTTGTTGTGTAGATGAGCAACTACTTGTTCCCTTAAGGCTATTGCTTTGTAAAAGACGTGTTTCTAACTTCTGTAAGTGGAAGCTCAAGGTAAACATTATGTTTTAAAACACATTTCACAGAGGAAAAGTAAAGAATTTAAGTAAGTGCCCAAACCAGCATTAACTTTCATCTTGTATACAAAAAAAACCCTGTCCCTGAACAACCAAACATAAACATGTGAAATGGCAAGAACAATCCTGTGCATGTTCAATTCTTAAATTCTTCATCTGATGAATCAAAGTACTTGGAAAAAACCTGACCTTTCTGGGAATAATATAGCCTAATAAATTAGGTATATGGGACTTGATTCTGCAAAATGCTGTAGCAACGGGTATTTACATGACTAAAGGTAAACTTACACTCAGATGCTCCCCTAGAACAGAGGAGATAATGTTCACCTTCAACCCCCTAGCCAAAAGGAAATCTACTCATCTTGGTCTGCTTTTGTAGAAGGATGGTACTTCTCAGCATTCAAGTTCTTATGCTACTACTTGACTGAATATATAATGTGAAAAAGTGGGATATATTTCTTCCTCCTCAGGTTGGATTGCTGTAGTTTACTGCACCCAAAACCAAAGATAGTAAAAACCCCAGTTTATGCGGACTATAATATTCCCCTCCTCTGAATAACATGAGATAACATGACTAACACACAGGTTCCATCACTGTCTCTTGCCAATTTCCAGTGCTACTTTAGATTATGGTTTTAATCCTGTTAAAGTAGTTAACAGATTAAAGGTTTGTAGTGACAGATGTCACAACCCAGAGAGGCAGCTGCCTCCCGTGGCTAACATTCCAGGACAAGAATTTTCACAGATATAGAAGACTAGTCAGTTGAGAGCTTTCATCTATTCTGAATGACCTAAGAACTAAATCTAACATCAAACCAAACCATTTCCAAAGGATGCTGCATGACTTGCTTCATTTAATAAACCTTCCCCATAATAACCAAAGAGAAGAAAATGTAACAAGAGAGGTAAGCATGGGGAACACAAGCAATCCAAACAAAAGGAGGGGAAGGATACACTGATTAGGAACAAGGCCCAGCAAATATTTAATTCTTAATCAAGTAAGTTGTAAACTTGAGCGCAAATTGCCCTGGAAGAAAAAATTACAACATTTAATAAGTCAGTTGTATTCTAATCCCAAATCTGATACTTACCTACAATTACTACAGGCAGGTCACCCTTTCTGAGTACGTTTTCCTCTGTTAAAACAGGCGCAGTTACATTTTTTTGATCTGGATGTGCCAATACAAGCCACACAGATACAATTAATGGGACTTTGGAAGCGTCAGAGGCCTCTGATGTCTACAGTGGGCACAGAATTAATGTATTTCTGCTTTACAGTCCTGTTCGTTCCTGATTGTGTACTATGTCATGCTGTCTCTAGTAAGCGAACAGTGCGTAAACTCATCTAACCAAGACCATTTGTACCTTCCTGGCTTTTATACTTCTGCTCCTTTTGATTCCTTAAAACACACAAGACTGCGGACTGTGTACCAAACCCTGAAAGTAAATTTGTTCCATAAATTTGCATCATGTTCTAGAACACAAATAAATGCACTTTATGGCATGAAACAGACATTGTATGTAAAACAAGTATTCTCAAGAAATATTCTAGTGTATTTCAGCTTCCTATCATTTAATGTTAAAGCCATTTTTAAAGTAAATAGTGGCAAAAGGAATTAAGTGGGGACTTAAATTATATTGCAGCAATTTAATACATTTCATTTGGTTGGGAACACGTCATAGCTTTTAAAGTTGAGGAAAAAGCACTGGAAGAATAACTAGAAAAGCCAAACAAATTTGGCTATTACGTACTCCACCAAAGGCTGCTATTTCTTGACTTATTAATTAATACAGTTATATAACTGTGCAGAATGCATCCCTGACCTGCAAACAGATTCAATGTTATTTGTGATGTGATGGGGAAAATGATAATGAAAAATTAAGAAAAAAAAAATTAAGCTCCATACTCTGGGAACACTCAAAACCACATGGACCCAAAGTTGGATTCGGGTAGGTCATAACAGCACACCTGAGAATCTACTCACAGCCTCCACAGGGCTGCCAAACTACAGCCTTGCATGCCTCATATTTCAGTAAGACCGCATCGGTGTAAAGTGAAATGTTGGTAATAGGCTTCTTGCATCTCACCTAAGACTCCCTGGGCAAATTTAACTTACTATAATCTGAAATCCTGTTCTTTCACTCCCAGATAAGCTTAGAAAGTTACATAAAAAGAAAAGTAGCAGAACATCTACAAAGAAATCTAGTACTGTGGTGTACTGAAGACTGTAGTGCTTAGGTGTTTCTACCTGCAACCATCCCTTATCCTATTGGCCTTTTGTAGAACACACATTATGTTTCAAGATTCAGGTGGTAGAGGACAGCAGTACACAGATGGCAGTTCAGTTTTGCCAAAGCACAAGTAGAGCTGTTTAGCCTGATGAATCAAACAAGGTACTTTGATACACAACATGCCTTTCACAGTATGACCATTTTTTTTTTGTCATGCGCTATTCAAATAGCTCTATACACTCTTCCTATCTAGTAATGCAAGCCAATTCTCCCTTTCAAGGTGGAATAGTTATATTCTCATGCTCTGACACTCATTTGTGCCTTAAAACTTCACATTTGACACCACTGTTGTTCTGAGTTAATCTTGTACTAACTTGTTTGGATGTCTGAAAGGGAGTCATAATTAAAATTGGAACTAACTTCTTTCACAAGTATCTATTTTAGCTCCATGACATATCTTTACCTAGAAAATTGGTACTGGCTGTAATCGCCTGTATTTAGCCCTGAGGCAAAGAATATTTAGATGAAGTTTTGCAGAAAATTGATCAAACCACTTCAATCTCATGAAAAATTATGGTAGCTGGAATTTTTATGTATTTCCAGCTGAGAAAGGGCTTATTTCAATCCCTTCAATGTTTCTACAGCTCACTCTTCATGAAGGTTGATGTGCTGCCTCTATTTGATGTCCTGCTCTTATTTACATTTAAAATGTTTGGGGGTTGGGTATTTTTGGCTATTGATGTCAACAAGTATAAACTTAAAGTGCACAATGTCAATGTGACTTCATTTTGGAAGCCTTATTTCTCGAGTGTAGACCAGAACCCTTAAAAGAGCCTATTTTTCAAAACATTCTGAAAATTCAATCCCTTTAAGTTCTCTTATTCTGGAACTTGAGAGCAAACTCACTATTCGCATCTGAAAAATTCAGATGCAAGGTCCACTGTAAATGAAGTTGCTTCCTGGCTGACTTGAAAACGTATGCAATTACGTTCTTATTACAACATGTATGAGCCTCCTTTTAGTTCACTATCTGCCTTGTGTTTTTAGGCTTGTAGGGCTGGAGTTTGGACCTGACTCTGTTTGGCAGCCCCTTATTAGCAAGGTTTTTGTCCTGCTTGTAACTAACTGACATTTTGCCACGTTTGTTTGCTCTTTGTCAAAGTTTGTCAGGTTGAAAGTAGATCTTGCTTAAGAGATGATTAAGAAGCATTAAAATTTGGTCCAGGGTACAAACACTTAAATGTGTGCTGCTTTTTTTAATTTTTCAGTCTTGCTGGTAAAGCACACGAGCCAAGTCATTATATGGGATGCATGCAACTGCAATGGACTGTTTCTGCACTTCTGAAGAGAAACCTGAACATCAGACAAGACTAGTGCTGTAAACCAAAGAGCTATATAGGAAAATCTGTATGTTGCGGATAGTTGTACGCTTTTAAAACTGGTATAAATTATAAAAATAAACTGTGCTGCTGTGGATAATGCTTAACAGTGAGGTTTATTCTTAATTCAGTTCCCATGCCCCATTTACAATCCCTTGTGCTTTCCACAGTTGTGGGAGGTGACCCTGCCCATGGCAGGGGGGCTGGAACTCAATGATCTTCAAGGTCCCTTCCAACCTAAACCATTCTATGATTCTATGATTTAACTGAGAATCTGAATTAGACTAAGTATTGATGATAATACACCGTGCTGACAGCAGCGAAATTTATACAGGTACAGGTGCAACAGAGGTGGAAGGCATGCCAGAAACTGAGTGCAATGTGGACTAGCTTCAACCCTACGTGATCAGTTACATCTGAGTTCCCAAAATTACATGACTTTAAGAAGAAAAAAAAAGCAGCAATATTGCATTATACGTGAATTACAGAGGACCTCTATTTTGAACTTGAGAGGGGACACATTGGCATTCTACTTTTTAATATCTTAACTTCTGCACTAGATGGAGGGTTAATGAGGGAGATTGGTATGCAGCACATCCTTGTCCATCTTATGGTTTCCAAATTAGTTACTCTAAGAAACAGCATTATTAAGTGTGCTATGATAGTCTATCACATTGATTCATAAATCCTAGGAAATACACCAGAACTTGCCTCCATGTTTACTCAAATTTGTTGCCGTTTTACTTATCTTAAACTGATACTTTGATTTGTTAATGAACCATTGATTAGTGTGAAGCAACAATGCAATTTTAAAAAGTAATTCTCTAATAAAAATATCCTTTTTAATCCAAGTAGATCTGTGTTGTTTGGGGGGGGAGGGGGGGGAATTAATCCCTTAGCATGGAAATGAATATTTTGCATTGTTTCCCATACTGATTGCTGGATTTGGTTTTGTGTATTAATCTTAACAAACTAGCTGACATTTCCACAAGAATAAT